TTATTTTCCTCATTTCAGCTCACAGACAGTTTTGAGCATCTCCTATATGAGAGGGCCATGCTAGTTGTTGCCATGGAGACAGAATGAGCCAGATGTCAAAGAGCTCACAGCCCTAGACTCCCTAGGGAAGCCCTCCGTGATCTCACATCTGACTTGGGCGTTTCTCTGGGCTCCCCGAGCATACTTGCAAACCTCTCCAAGCACGTATCACACTGTGCTCTAATCCACAGTTACAAGTCCAGCACACTGTCCCCAGAGGCCTGCAGCATCTTCCAGAGGATATGTATTGACAGACCAAACAGGTAAGCCCTAGATCCCAGGCAAGTACTAAGCACAGGGCAGGTGCTCAAGAGCCCTGCAATGAAATGAATGCAAATAATAATAGACATAGAAAAGCACGGGCGTGAGTCAGAAGTCACGTGTCTTGTACGAACAGGAAGATACTACGGCACTTAGAGGAGAGAGCTACTTTGCACGGGGTTAGTTCGAGACAGCTTTGAAGCAGCAGGATTTCAGGCTGAGGCTAGCACACAGTTGCAGACGTGGGACGGCAGAGGGGTGGAGCAGCCAGTGCACAGGTGGAATAAGTGGGATAACGAGCTGGAGCACAGCGAACAAGGAGATGAGGTGGGGGGCTCAGAAGCAGGGCAGGCTGTTTGTGCCTGCCCATCTGCTGCTCTGAAATAAGCAAACCAAGGCAGGGGAATTTACTGAGGGCCCTCGAAAACAAGCACAGGCTTTCCTAACAAAGAAAACCACAAGGGGAGCTCGTATGGGGCAGAAGGGTCCTAGAGGGATAGTGTTTCCCACCCGGCCACAAGGGCTACAGAACAAGAGCAGCAGGTGCTGCCAAGCAGTGGGTAACGCCCCGGCTCAGGTCACTGGTTTACGGAAGCCAGGTGAAAGAACTGAGCTGCAGGCAGGAAGGGTGCATACACGCACGCACGCACGCACGCATGCACGCACGCACGCACGCACGCATGCACGCACGCACGCACGCACGCACACGGCCTGAACCTGTGACTCCAAGGCAAAGAGAGATACCACAAGGAGCTTGGCCGGCAGGACCCAGCAGGGCAGCCCTTTCTCGGGTACTGGCCCACAGACAGAGGGCAAATGTACACCCATTCTCTCAAGGCTTTGAGACCAAGCCCAGCCCTACCTTCTGTCAAGGCAGAGTCTCAGTAGCCCACTCTAGTATCCTGCCCTACACGCCTCAGGCAGGTGGCTTCCAGGGCTTCCCTCTGAGAATGGAGACCGGACCCCACCTGCCCATCCACACAGACAGGAAAGGTCCTCCTTTCTACCACTCCTCAGCACGTGTCTTTTCTTATTAACTCTGTGTGGCCTGAATTGGTTAACAACACAGTCCTTTGATAAAAAAAAAAAAGATGTTACGCATTTGCTTTAGGAAGTGAGCAAAGACAGGGCGATGACATGCATGCTCCTGAGTGTCTGTTTCCAGGACTGCTGCGCACAGTCTGCTTTCAGCTCAGAGCCTCCTGGCTGCCTGGCCTAAGGCAGCGGTGTCTGAGTGAGGAGTCTAGGAAATGACTTTTGGTCAGGAGCCTCTGGCTATTTTCAGGAAACAAAAATTTTTAAAACTCCCTCAACCTTGAAGACAATGCATTCGACTGGATAGAGAGAGGGCAGTGGGGAATTTGAAGCATGTAGAGAATTTGTGATGATTAATATTATGATTCAATTTGGTTGGTCCCAGATATTTGGACAAACATTCTTGATATTCTGTGAAGTTGTTTTTAGATAAGATTTACTCCATGTAAAATGCGTGCATGTGTGTGTGTGTGTGTGTGTATGTGTGTGTAGTACTGGGGATTGAACCCAGGGCCTTTGCACTGAACTACATCATTACTCCTTTTTTATTTTTTATATTGAGATAGTCTCCACCAAGCCACTCAATTGCTCAGGCTAGGCTTAAACTTGCAATTCTCCTGCTTTAGTCTCAGAGAGTGCTGGATTACAGGCCTGTGCCACTACACCCAGTTGAGGTTTATATTTAAATCAGTAGGTTGTGAATAAAACAGATTTTCCTGCATAATCTGTGTAGCCTCATCCAATTAGTTAAAGATGGAATAGAACAAAAGGTCAACCATCCCAGGCAAGAGGGAATTCTGCCAGCAGACAGGCTTCAAACTTCATATGGAACGGCAGTTTTCTTCGGGCCAGCAGCAGACAGCCTTTGAACTGAACTGTAATCCCTCTTGCATGTTCGCTCTCCAGGCTCCCCCATCAGAGTCCGGACCCACCAAGACTCCACAGTTGCATGAGTCAATCCCCACATCTATCCCATGATTCTGTTTCTCTACAAAATTCTTACTAATCCAAACCTCTTGACCTTGAGAGGCAAAGTCCATGGAATCTAATTTGGATCTAAGAAGGCTTAGTGCTCAAACCAGCAAAGAATCCCATGTAGATTCCCTCTCGCTCACCTGTAGGATAATTAAGGGTTCAGTCATCAAAGAGGCAGTGCTTGGAACTATAACAACCTCAGTGCAAAGTTCAGAGAGAACTACGTAGTGGCCAACAGTCAAATTATTTTCATAAGGAGAAAAAAGATCAAAATCAATCCTCTTAACAAAGCAGTTTTCAAAAATAGAGAGCTCTTGCCAAAGTAACAGCGAACACTTTTTTAAAAATCTTCCCAGAAAAGAACAATATCTAAGAAAAGCAAGCTTACGCTCTATCAGAAGCAAGCCCTCAACTTGAAATTGTGAAATATCCCCTCACCAAAGTATATCTGACAGGAAAGAAATAACTTCCATTACCCAATGAGAGTGGTGTGGAAATAATAGGATTGCTTTTATTTTGATGGATGATCTAATAAAATGGTATAAAATGATTAGAAACAATAAAATTAAATCACCAAATACAGTTCTATTTGTTTTGTGCTATGGTGTGGATTCTTGCATCGAGTGGAAGGTTGGACAATATAACTCCCAATTTTAGGAAACAATAAAAAGGAAGAAACATGATGATGATGCTCTTTTATTGCCAGGAAGCTGCTCCTGAGCCGCTATAGCCGCCCTAACAACAATTGCAAAGGGCCACAGGAACTCAAGTAGACACAAAAAAGATGGGTCACTTTCCTCCCCCCACCCACTCCTGCCAGGGGTAGCTCTCATCACACAGACATTTCTCTTCAAGCTAACAATGTGACCCAAGGTGGTGGGTCTTGGAACGGGCACGATAACTCCAGCCTGAGCCCTGAGGGCTCAAATAAAATCGCTGGCCACAATTCCCTTATATTCACGGGCAGCAAATGCAGAATGGACAGCAGCAGAGACTCCACACTGTAGAAATAACTGGCACGGTGGCAGGGGGTAAGAGTGCAGAAGGATATGGGAAGATGCGAGGCTAGAGGTATCAAAAGCTCTTCAAAGAAGCAGGTGCCCCAAACGAAGATGTGCTGGCCCTGAAATGACCCACTAAAATGAGCGTGGTTTCTTCACCAAAGCTTTTGAGTCAAATGTTCAGGTTTGTCAAGGTTTGCCAAGCTACCTGCCAGATGCTTAATACCTCTCTGCGTTTCTGACGAGTCAGTTCTGAGCTCCAGGCGCAGCCCTGTGGCGGCGGCTGAGTCCCTGGGGTGGCTGCATGCCACACCACGCGTGCATCACCAGACCATGGTGACCGCCTTATAAATTCACTTCCCCCACATGGGCTAGCTATTAGCAAAAAAAAGCTTTGACAGTCAAAATTTGCAGGAACAACCCTCTGTTCCTCTTCTGCCAATACTGTGTCTTTCAGAGCTAAATGGCCCTCAAAATAGTTTGGGAGGAGCAGTGAAGCTGCACTTGCAGAAGATCTGGGCACCTCCTATTCCAAGCCACTAGGAAGCCGTCACACACTCCCACTTTGTGCCGTGGCTCTCCCAGGTCTCTCTCTCTTCATCTCCTTCGGGACCTCTTTATCAGCCAGGTTCCCCATCACTTCCTTGTCTGGTCCCCAGTTAGGCTACCCCTCCCTGGCTTCCACTCACAGAAGTTTCCCTCACTCTCTTTTTCCATTAAATGCATTGATAAATGAGGCTCCCTCCAGAAAGAGAGGCAGGCTGGTCCAGACTGGCAGAGACGGAGATTCCAGATCCAAAGGCCAGCTTAGCTTGGTAACGGCAGCCGTCTCAGGCTTCACCTCCTGCACCCCACAGTCCCTCTCGCTCTCCAAAACACAGGGACACACCTTTGGCTTGGTTTATGCCTTTGTTCCTTCTCAAGCATTTAGCAGAAATTATCATTTCCACTACTCTCTTGGGAGCCTGCCCACATCCTGAGTCTGCTAGGGAATAGCTTACAGGAAGTGGTATATTAAAGTAACTGCAATGGCATACCTAAGACAGGGAACTCATGGCATTTTCAAGATGGTAAGGGCAGTATTTAAAAGCTTCTGCTAACACCCCTTTGCCAGTTAACCCTATTCTCTTTGCTTATCAAAATTTACACCACTGTTATTGAGACCCACTTTTTTTAGCATTAACTCTAATGGAAATATACATGTGTGACTGGAGAGAGGAAAATAAAGGAAAAGATACTAGAGATGGAAGTAGCAAGCAGTGAGAGCAATGGGTGCCCCTAGGGAGCAGGTGCTCCATAAGGTTAACATCACTAGGGAAATGGGAAGTCTTACGAGGGAATTATCTCATTTACAGGCTACAGTTCCAACAATGGGAAAGCAAATGACTGTGCTTACCTTTCCTTTCGTCCATTCCTCTTGATTCGAGTACCACATGGGAGTGCTACTTCACACCAAGGCAAAATCTACCACCGCACCATCTTATTCCCGTTACTTTTAAAATGGTATGGAGGTTTATATAGCTATATGTCGCAAACTAATACACAATGGAAACCAGGGATGGGAGAGGTTTTTTCAGCAAATGTGCTTGGTCTCTCCTCTCTCATCCTTGCTTACACACACAGGTTCATACATATGGAGGTATTTATTCATGCAAACACATACCGAAAAGCTGCAAGGTGTCCCCTTACCTCTGATGGCTTTGTGGTACACTTTCCTTTTCCTGAACACTCCAAGTCATTTGCATGGCCATCCCCCGGCACACAGTTGCTGGCCTTCACCACCAGAGTTAAACGCAAAGCCACGATAGATTTAGTCACAGAATCATTCACAAAACCTAAAAGAAAATGGGACGATAGAAAGTGTAAAATAAAGCTTTACCAACGGTCATTCCACATGACTATTTTTTTTTTTTCTTTTGGTACCGGGAATTGAACTCAGGACCTTACGCTTGCTAGGTAGGTGCTTGTGCCACTGAGCTACATTCCCAGTCCCTAGGCAGCTAATGAGTCTAGCAAAAAAACCAAACTGCAGCGAGGTGAAGGAATAAAGCACAAGGCTATAGTCCCTTCAGATGTCAGGCCTTTAAACAGACCAGTCTCTCCACGCATCATGAGAAACCGCCTATGCCAAGGGAAAGGAGTGCCAGGCACTTTAGCCACCATCTTAGGCCCTTTGCTTTGTTCCCGCCCTTGTCCTTTAAGGGCCACTTTGTTTCTCAAGCCAATCTCTATGCTGGATCTTAGAATTTAATGTCTGCTTTTGAACCCGGTCTTCTCTCTGAAAGCAACTTCCCTATGTCACTCTACTCTTCCTCCTCTGGGCTACTGTGCACACTTACCACTGCTGGGAAAATCCAAAGGCCCCACCCCGTTAGCAGCCCTCCCTGGCAGCCCTCAATGCCCTCTCTCATAGGCATGCAATATGGGTTCACATTCTACACGGAGTTTCTTAATGAATGCTTGCTTGTCACCAATCTGACCTCACAGTATCACTTTTATATACCTAATAAAAATAGGTGGTTTGGGTCATCTGATAAAACAGGACTAATCATATTTGACTACTGACTGCAACATCAATGATGTGTCATATTTCTCATGGAATGACCATGATACCTAGTACAGTCATTTTTCTATAGCAATAAATATGAAATAAATTGATGAATAAATATAGATTCAGTGGAATGAAGAAACAAATATCTTAAGTATTTTGCATTAATAAATAATTTCAGTAAGCCTCTTTTTTAATAAAAATTCATATGTGACTTTTTATTTCAAGTTAAAATATTACTGAAACTCACTAATATGATGACATTAAGTACAATATTCTCAGTGCTGTTTGAGAGAAAGATCAAGTCCAACAGTCTTAATATCATGAAGCCATACCCATGGATACTTTAATGGCAAAAGATTTTTAGCAGCAAGGTGGTACCAAGAATCAATGAGGAAATATAGAAGAGACAATTTATTTTAGAATAATTTAAATGAATTCCATTACCAGGCAAAAGTATATTCGAATCCCTACCTCACACTATGCATAAAAATAAATCTTGATGGCTTAAAGAGCTAAATAGGAACCAAAACCTTTAAAATTTCAAGTGGAAAAATCAGAAATTTCATTGATCTTGGGGTAAGGGATTTCTTAAACAAGATACAAATAATAACACACAAAAAATAGATCAACCAATTTAACCTTATCTAAATGCAAATTGTATGTAAATAACCAACATAAACAAAGATGGTAGACCTGACACAGACTGGGAAATGAAATTTATAATGCATTAAACCAGTACCTAATTAGCTACAGGAATATAAAAAGAGTTCTTTTGCCACTTGTTTTTTCCTCAACATTATTTATATTTACATAAATATCAAAACCTATACAGCAGTACTGTTATATACACATATATAAGCACTGTTATATACACATATATGCACAATAAATGTATATAAAGATTCAGGGAAAGAAACAGCCAACCTCAGATAAAGGAGATTTACTTTTTAAAAAATAATATATAAAAATTCAAGAAAAATATCAAATCTTATACATAAAAAAGCTTTTTATTCATTGCCATAGTTTAACATGTTTTAGACCTTGTATAACCAAATTTATATTTGTATTATTTGTTATATTTCAGGCAACACAACACCAAACAGGCTTTGACAGGTTAGAAAAATGTAGTGTTCTGACACCTAAAATATACAGCCTCAAAAAGTCTCTGTATTTTTCTAATAAAGTCCTTTTCCCTCACCATATCAAATTCTTTCTTGTGATGCACACATATGCATGCAGAACTACATTTATTCTCACACATGTGTTTCATTAAAATGACAATAACTGGATAAAAAACAGAACCCATGTTGATTGACCTTGCTTTCATGACAACTAGCATCATCTCCTTAATTGGTCACTTAAGAACATGTGGCTTCTGTTGACAAGAAATAGCAACTTTCCAAATACTTTACATGTTCTTAATTTAGAATGCCTTGTACCCTAAGGTGTTGTGTATCCTAAAGCCCATTGTCACAGATCTATTCAAAATGTTACTTGACACACTAGCATTCATGTTTCATACTTCCAAATGCTAAATGGAGAGCAAACATGGAACAGAAAGAAAGCAGGCCTTGAGTCAAGGGGTGAAAGGAATTCATGCTCTCAAGGGTCTTTGGGCTGGAATTCCAAGGTGCAATGGTTCCTGGAGATTCCTTTCACACCAGTGGGTGACCAGCAATGCTGGTGACATGCTCTACCTCCAAGAACTGCTTCTAGGAGTACTGGGAACAAGAGTCTCTGGGTTGTACCTCTGAACTGTATTTCCTGAGCCTTCCACCAAGTCTAGCAAGAGCTAAGCCAGCTCCCCACATGCTATGCAGAATCAGGGAGTCAAGTGTCCCTTCCCAAAGTCAGAGGAATGAAACAAACAGCTTTCACTGGTGAAGAGGAGCCTGGCAAGGACATGGTTTCCTGGGTGCCAAGCATGGGAACGCACGGGAGCAGCATGGATGAAACCAAAGCACAAGAGTAAGGTCTGAAATGAACAAACCAAAAAACTAAACCCAGATGAAGACAGCCCACCATGAAAGAGGGCAAAGAATCATCCTAAGGAGGGCCTGATGTGTTCAGCCTGATAACATTGGCTGTCACCCAGTGCAGGTACATTCCTAAAATGTTCGAGTCCTCCAGGAAAACACCCGGTGCAAAGCCATAGGTTTCTTCCCTGACTTCAATCCCATGGTGAATTCTAATTTCTCCCATAAGCCAAGTACCGATTGGGTGAATGGAAAACTGTCAAACAACTGTATTTGTTGTTGTTTAGGGCTCATCTAAGCTCCAGGAACCCTGAAATCCCCATCATTGAGACTTTGGGAAGACAAAAACCTTCCTGTGACTTCAACCAGCCTTAAATGTCAATGAGCTACTTGTAATTAGTAGCTTGATTATATAGGAGAAAGACTCCTCCTTCCTTACCTATAAACAGGTATGTAAGACAATGGGTGAAAATGATTTTAGACAAGATTCTACACAAATCATGACTCTGAGTCCCAGTTTGTCATGTATTAAGCAGGGATAACAATGCCAAATAAGGTAACCATAGAATTTATTCTCAAAATGAGAACCATTTAGTATAAAGGGAAGTGCTTTCTATAATTATATGCATACAGACGGTAAGACAATATGGTCACCTTACTCCTAATATCCTGAACAGTATCTAGAGCTAATGAACAAATTACTACCTTAATACCAGGGATTGTTTTAACAGGAACAAGATGGACTCAAAACTTAATTCATTTATTCAAATCACAAGCATGAAATTCACGGTGGAGCATGACAGAAGTCAGAGAACAATTGAGACATCATTCAACTTCAGATTTGGCATTAGGAGAAAAAATTCTCCTGGTGTCATGGTCAAGATAGGTTTGGGAGTTTTAGGCAGAATTATTATATTTTACACCCACAGAGGATTAGTTACTTTCTTCCTAAGATTTCCTATTGAAACCTCTGCTGTAAGTTGGCTTTGGGGAGGAAGGGAATGGATAGTTTAAGCAAAAGTGTCTATTCTGTAGAGCTTTCTACATCTTCATCATCATAACCCTGTAGAAACACAGCTCTCAGCCCAGCTCTCCAAACATTTCTTCAGTGCCTCTGTTGCCTGGAAGACTCCTCCTTCTCCCAATCTATAACCATCGAGGTCCCGTTGAGATTTCACTCCATTCATGAGCTTGTGCTCAGTGTTTCAGCCCAGCCTGAGCTCTACTGTGTCTGTCCACACTGTGCCACACCTCCTGTATTTGTCCGATTATCCTCCATCTTGGATAATTGCTTATCCTGCCACCTTTCCTGGAGCTTCTTTGATGGCGAGAAACAAGTCTTAGCCAGGTGGTGAACAAGAGGTCAAGACATAGCACATACACTATGGTCAGAGCAACAAAGACAATTCCCAGAAAGGCATTTCTAGAATGTCCTATTATCCACAATGTCCATTGTGAAGAAGCGTGTTTGAGTGATTTCATTCTCCTTGCTGAGACAAAATTTCCAGTGACCAAAATTAAAGAGAGCAAGGTTTACTGAGCTCACAGTTTGTGGAGGTTTTAGACCATACCCAGTTGCTCCAAGGCAGGATGGCGCATGGTAGAAGGGTAACAGTTTACGGCAGCAGAAAACAACAAAAACAATAAGAGCAAAGTGCGGGGAGGAGCAAGCTTCTTTTTCTCCCTTATATTAAATACAGGCCACCGGCCCTAGGGCAGGTGTAGCACTCACACCTCCAATCCCAACACTAGACAATAAACCAATCACAAACTCCAGATTCAGCTGCCTCCAAAAAGCTCACCCCATAAGGCTTTGGGGGGAACATTCAGACACAAACCATAACAAAGTGTTTACTTGAACATGCAAATTCCAGTTTGCTAAAATATAATTTCTTATCAGTTTGCGACTGACTACCCTTAGTAAAGAAATGAAGCCTGACAGAATACTGGGATGCTACCAGAGGTCTTATTCCAAGTGACATTTTACATATAAAATAATAGAGATAAAATCAGATATCTGTAATTATAAAAGTGCTTTTCAGTGAGATCAAGTAGAAAACCTTTGCTTGCTTCTCTAGCTTCGTATTAAATTATTTTAAAAATCTGTAACGTTTGTTTGCTCAGTAAGCATTTAGAGCACATCATGCTCTATAATTACTCTAGATATAAGAGGCTTCCTTTCAAAGGTTATTTTTCAAATTCTACCAGCTATTAAATTCACTTGTCTGGCAATAATTCAAATTAGTGCATAGTAAAAAATACACAAAATGTAGTTTTCTAGATGACTTGCTTCCGCTTCCTCAATGAA